AATTTCTTAGCGGAAAGGTTGGGAACATTTATTCGTACAATGTGGATGACATCTGTCTTGTGTTTGGTGCAGATGAAGCAAGTCAAACAGCGTCAAAAACGTACTTATCATGGTTTGTCCGACGAAGTTACGAGTGGGCATTTCACTTGCATTGCTGGGTCAGTCTGTATATCTATGCAAATATTCATATTTATTTGTACAGCGCAATTCAAAATACATATCGTTTCAGAGCAGCTTTACAGAACATGCATGTATATTACAATGCTAAATGTACGCTAGTAAACTAATCGCTGTATGCCATTACTCATTTCATACGTTTCCAAGGGTGTGTGTTTAGTTAGGTGAAGTTTGTTGCTGTGGAACGGTGTGCGAGGGTTTAAATGTCCTATCTGAGCCATTCATGTGGTCACAAATAAATAGAAGGTGAATGCAATTTAATGCTGGCTGTCTTTATTTTCTAATGCCTGTATTAGCCATTTAAGAGAAACATGCAGATTAATAATTGTACAATTAAGAATAAAACACACAGAATACACTTTTCAGGTCCTTGAAGGTAATTATGTTCTTTTATGGTTTTCAAGTAGTCACATACAGATTTGCTGTGTATGTATACAGGTGAAACTCGAAAAATTAGAATATCATGCAAAAGTTCATTTATTTCAGTAATTCAACTTAAAAAAGGTGAAACTAATATATTATATAGACTCATTACATGCAAAGTGAGATATTTCAAGCCTTTGTTATAATTTTGATGATTATGGCTTACAGCTTATGAATTCAAAATTAGAATATTGTGAAAAGGTTTTCACAATATTATTGACACCTTTTAAGTTGAATTACTGAAATAAATGAACTTTTGCACGATATTCTAATTTTTCGAGTTTCACCTGTAGTAGTCAACTTTTGAAGTGGATCAAAAAAGTTAATCAAAGTTGTCCTAAGACAAGAACGTGTTTTGTTCAATACTAATGTATAACTTTGATGAAAGGGTTAGGTCCACTTCAAATGTTGACTAAATTTCTTATTGTGTGTTTACTTGTATGAACACAAAATGCTTCAACAACTGAGACAACAACATAAAACACATTTCACAGAATGTTTTTTTTTTTACAAACAGAAATGGAGTTATGAGTCCCTGAACAAAGGGGGTCAATATCAATCCTCAAGTACTCCAACACATCTGGGGGTTCATACAGTGTGTGCAGAATTATTAGGCACGTTGATTTTCTGATCATATTTTTTTCAGGCACATTTTACCAATTCCAAACCACATTAATCTTAATAACTACTATTCATTTAATTTTGTATTTAATCATTTACAAGTGATATATAATTGTTTATGAAGGCTGGAAATGAAAAACGCCTTATATTCAGGTGTGCATAATTAGGTATGTTTTCATAATTAGGTAAGCAAAAATCGCCACTGAAAAAAATCACAAGCTGAAGTGTAGTAGAATACATGATCTTCCAGAATCTGACAGTAACTTTTGGGAGTTCATTTTTAGTCCATCTCTGCAAAACGGACTTCAGGGTAGGAGATGGACTAAAAATTAACTCCCAAAACTTACTGCCAGATTCTGGAAGATGAATTCTTCAAACAGTGGTACAAGAGGATGTGGTGCTGGTCCTTCAGGAGTCACTCTCGATCTGTCTGTCCATAAAGCCATAAAAAACAGTCTTCATGTATTTTACTAACTTCAGCTTGTGATTCTTATTAAGAGGGGGTAATTTTTTAGGATTCTTTACCTAACCTAAGTCTCTGAGATCCTGATATCTTGCTCTTCTGGAGACTCCAGGTAGGTAGCAGTTCTGGAAAATGGCGGCGCTGGAGACTAAAGGGTTCCTGATGGTTTCACGCTTAATTCTTCACCTTAATTGTTTTACAGTTAACATGCGTCTTTTCTTCTCCACCTGTTTTCGTCTGACCCAATGAGCATTTCACTGTCCAATGGTCATGCCTTAACTGCAATTCCTAGTATTGGATCCTTCTCATGGGCATTTAATGATTTTTGACTTTTCAGTCTGAGTTAAATCTCTTTTTTTGGCTTATTTAATCTGTAAAAGAAAACATGCCTAATAATTATCAATTATTATCCACCTGAATATAAGGTGTTTTCATTTCCAGCCTTCATAAACAATTATATCACTTGTATATGATTAAATACAAAATGAATAGTAGTTATCAAGATTAATGTGGTTTGGAATTGGTAAAATGTGTCTGGGAAAAAAAATATGATCAGAAAATCAACGTGTCTAATAATTCTGCACACACTGTATGGTCACATGTGGTTTGGCACTGCAGGACGATTAGCTGTCTCCCTGTAGCAGTGTTAAGCGTCTTAAATTACAGATGATGGCTTTCCTATTGAAGACAAAAGTAGAAACACAATTATTTAACTTAATCTGGTTAATGCACAATATTTAAAAAACAATGCTATTGTGTAATACATCAGTAAATGTTGGAATTAACATTAGCCAAGCTTAATAGCCTAAGTGCTGAATTTTTTTTTACCTTTACCATTTGTAAACTACTGCAGTTAGCTGTTACACACCATTCTGCAGTTGTCAACTGACTAGACAGCTTGACAACAAATGTTAACTCCTAACTTAATTAATTACAGCCCACAGAACATTTAGGGAAAAAAGGAAATAAAAACTTGGCCTTTTTTCAATACACGCGCGTCAAATTGCTAGGTGCATAATATGTAAACAATTACGGTCGGACCCACAGTGCTATCTTAAATTATGCTGCATCACACTTAAAACAGTTAAAGTAGAGAAATACAAATAATCCAATGAAAAAATAAGTATTTTACTTACCAGAATCGAAATGTGTACACTGTATATTGCTAGTTGCTTAGTATCCATTCTTCTCGCTTCACTGCTGCAATCCAGGCGCAGCAAATTTCGAAAATATAAACGCTTTGATTACCGAGAGCAAGTTATTTCCGGGCCTGAGAGAACATCCAACCACTGAACAACATGCTCCTAATTTTAATTTTGACATGTTTTATTCGCATGAATAAGAAAATTATCGCACAATTGCGGTAAATAGACAGTAAATAAAGCGCTTCCCGCCGTTGTTTCGAATGTGCGCTCTAACTAACCGGAAACGTCTGAGGGCCAAACACGTCACTTCCGTACATCTACAAATAGCCGTTGAAATGGTCTATAGGCAAATCCACGGACAACTAACAGGCATTAGCACGAGCGTAAAGAACGCGCTTGAGACGCGCACAAGTCAGCAATATTTCTGATGATTTATTGGCATGAAGTTTCGTGCACAATGACAAACAGGAGTGCAAGATTCTCGAAAAACAATAAGCAGAGTGGACTGCCATAACATCAATGAAAAACATTACTGCAGGCTTCAACATGGCTGTGTTTACGATTAGAAATGTCAAACAAATTTCGCCTACGTAGGCGATTGTAGGCCGGATCTGTATCTGTATGCATGGGACTGTCTGAATACCGGCAGAATTCACATTTTTGTTGTAAAAAGAGACACGTTATGCAGAAGTATAGTATAGTTTGTATGTGTGTTTGTCAGAGCCTGCAGTTGCTGTGTGACGCGCGGTCGGTGTTGTTGCTATAACGCGTTGCTATGGGTTGCGTCACTTGCGTCAAGTTGTGTGTGTGTCTTGCTTCGGTCTTGTGAGACGGATTTTTATGGTTAATTTTATATATATATATATTTATCTAAAATGAATTTACAATTTTATTAATACGTTCATATGTTTAAAAAGAAGAAGAATGTATTTATGTAAATTCAAATATATATATATATTTTTAGCCTACGTAATTTTTTGGCGGCACCCCTGACAAAGTCAGGGGGCACCCCAGTGTGCCGCGGCACCCACTTTGAGAAAGGCTGGTCTAATGTATAGTTTAGTTGTGTGTAGCCTATACAAGATTCAGAAGTTGCTGTCTCAACGAATTCAACTTATAAACCCTTCATTACATACTCATTTCATTAGCTCTGAACACTGAAAACCTTAGTTGTGCATAATCTAAAAAACGCGTGCGGCAGTCAGTGAGTGAGTGTGTGTGTGTGACCCTAATGCGGGGTGATGTTAGTTAAAACACTCGCTGGACAGCTGCACCGGGTCTCCACAGCGGGAACTGCCGCCCCGTGCGCAAAACTCACGTTAATGTAGGCTAATAGTCACACACAACGTTGCTGAGAGTTTCTTTTCGCTTCCTCCCAATCTAACATGCCCAAACACTCACGTTTATAGTAAAAGAAGCGCTCTAGAACATAATTGTTTGTATCACGTGACCTTCACAGCTATTATTTAAAGAGCAATGACTCAGACCACCGTCTCAAGAAATAGCCTATGGATCACTATCTCAATCTACTAGCACAATCCAACCTAGAAACTCATCAGCATACTTGTAAATTATGTCTAAGATGCTTTTAAAACAAAGAATAATTATTGTGTTATGCGGACAAGTGATTCACATGATCAGCAACACCTGAAGGAAACTAAATCAAAATGGACCCTAATGCTCTTTTGGGAAAATGCAAAAAGGGGAGAGGGGAATTCAATCTTTTGTTTCCATTGGAGTCTGTTACTGCACATGAATAGAGATTAAACTACAGCAGCATGTGTTCTCTCCCCCTTTCATTCATTTTATGCTCAATTTAGCATCAGATCCAGAGGGGCGACCACCACCACACATCATCACCACGGGGTCATACAGGGTCAGGCCCCTTTTAATTGTAGTAGCCTATTAATTATTTGTAGCGCTGCTGTAGTATTTAATTTCACGTGCTCAAAACAGCCTCTTACGAACTAATAAAAATAAGGGCAATTCTCTCTAATCTTACCATCTGAACTCCCGTAGAGTAGACTAAAAGAGCAGTTATTTAGAAAAACAAACAAACGTAAAAGTGAGCTATAGGCACGCGACTTGAGCGGCTCGTTTGACATGACTTTATTTAGAGCAGCAGGCCCGAGTGCTGCCTGAACACCCGCGAACTGTCGATCGGATCTTACCTCCGGTGTTGGAGCGCTTGGTATTGCTCGCCTCGGTCGGTGTTTCCAGGGGTCTCTTTCGGGAATCGGAGAGATCCTGGTCCATGTGTGGCGACTGAGAAAGGTGCTGAGGACTGGATAAGACCCCGTTCTGCTGAACTGCTCCGCCAGCCATCATTTTGTCACCGGCAGGAGTTTACACCGCGTTAGCACAACGAAAATCGTTAGAAAGCACATACAATTATTTATTATCCAGTCAGCGTCTCCTCTCCGAGCTGTCCGTATGTTTACTGGAGCTTTAAATGTCATAAAAATGCCATGCTGCAGGGTCGCTGCGTGCGTCCGTTTCTGCCGCGCTGTCCACTAGTTTCCGTTGGGAGAAGAGGCGCATTAAAGCTCTAAATATAAAAATCAATTCAGTGAAGTCTATTCATTAGCGCGCACCCGACACTTGAGACGTCTGTGTGTTTAACGAGCCCTCACACACACGCGCAGCGCCCTCTCCAAAAAGATTCTCGCGACCATTGCCTCACGCTGACAAACTACTAAAAGATAAACAAATCAAGATTCAAGCTCAGAACAAGACAAAACCGTCATTGTCGCTCGTATTTTTCCGGTCTCCGCGCAGCGGCGCTTGGTTTTGGAAGTAGTGTATTGCTGTTGACGCTGTCAGTCCGTTTGTTTTGGGAGTGTAAAAGAGAAGATTTTGTTTAGGAGATGCGAGAGTCTTGGCTAGCGCGCGGCTGCTCGGGTGACAAGAGCTCTCGCGCAGCATCCCTGGACCAATTGTGAGCCAGAGCGCGAGAGCCTTCCTGACGTCACGAGCCGCATCTTCCAAAAGAGTTTTCAACGGCAGCAAGTTTTAGAGTCCAGACTCACTCACTAGTTTAACAACTTGAACTTTAAAACTGTCCATGTTTAGCTAACTGTGAATATAATAGCAGAATGTTACATATGGGGATTATTAAATAAGTTACTTTCAAAGTGATTCAATGTGGAATAAATTGCATTTTGCAGACGACGATTAAAAGGCAAGCTTATTTACGTTTACATATTGTCTTAGACAACAAACATGGTGAAAATGTTAAACATAATTATACAAATTATATGTGTACTTTTCAGAGCATTTAATTACTCTGATAATCATGTGGTAACTATCAATTACTTAAAATATCAATGGAGAATTGTAGCATTTTTTTTTTAAGATTGAACATTTTAGAAATAAAAATAACATGTAACTTACAACAACCAACAATAACTGAAAAAAAAACACAGATTAAACAGTTAAACAGATTGTCATCACAGATACCACATGGGCTCTTACATGGAGTCTTTAAATTGAAAAGAAGAGAATTGTATTTATAGTCTAATTTCTATTTCACAAATGAAACTCAAAAAGGACAAAACTCTGTTAAAAAGGTTTTACAATGCGCTAACTTAAAATGGAATCGCTAATTTCTTCAGTCACAAAACAGCCCCAAAAGCAACTAATTTCAGTACAAAAGTGTTCTAGATTAGAGTTTTGGGGTAATAATTGCATAATTCAAACTCTGTATTAGATGATTAGATTAGATTATAATCTTATATAACAGAAAAGATTTACATAGAGGTTATATGTAAACAATACCACATCCCAAGTAAAATAAAGGCTAAATATAATTAAACATGTTAACTATTAAATAGTTACCAATCCACATAAGAAAAATCACGAACAGACAGTGTAATCTTGTTGGAGTGTACACAGGCCATTTCACAAATTCAAGGCCGAAGAACACATCACAGATTTTCAATAAAACAAAAAACTGAAAACAAACCAATCATGAAACCAATTTTTATATAAAAGATTGTTTATAATCTTAATTGTAAGTATTTATTTAATATGTTTTGGGTCAAAGGTAATATCACTTTAAAAGCAATATTCTCTGGACCCATGCAAACTTTTCAAAGGACACGATTATGGTTTAACTGACAGTACAACTAACAAGCCCTGGTGCTTGTAAGGAATTAATTATGTACCATTTTCCTCCCCAGAAGTAAATGGAATTGCGAGTATTAGCACATACGGCTAGCCACATACTCAGAGGCAGACCTCTTCCTGTGTCAGACAGGGCTGCCAGTTTCACGGAGTGCCTCTTGAGCTCCTTGCAGTGTCTCTCTCTTCACACATTTCCAATAACCAGAAATACCCAGCTGGGGCTGAACCTATGCAACACACAGGTGCAATCTACAGTAAGTCTACCGGTTGCTGCTTTGAGCCACTTACACACATTCACAAAGATTAACAACTACTGTCACAAGATTGGCCTATAACTGCTCTTCAGATTAATGTCCATCATGAGTATTATGGTCAGCATCGTCATTATAACTTATGTCAGAATTTACTGCCAATAATTCTTTTAACACAAAGAATTTTTATGAAATTATTAATTTTAGCACAACATTGTAAATTAAATAAATACAATTCTGCAAATTAATAATTCATTTTCAATTAAAGGGCTAAATGGTTTCTCACCCTGAGTCCACGAAGTACTCTGTCTTTCATCACAGCGAGGAACTCTTTATCACTCAGACAGTTGTCCCCGTCCAGGTCAAAGATCTTAAAAACGGTGTCCAAAACGTTCTCTGAAAGGTCGTGGCCTGTCGCTATCTTCACCGCTCGCTTAAACTGAGCTATAGAGCAACATAGTGAGGGAGATTGCTATGCATTTTAATGACTCAATCAACACAACTTGGAAAATGTCAAGAAATGTTATGTATTACAATCATTTATGTATTATTGAAAGTTAAAACTATTGGCATCCAGAGTCTTACCCATTCCTATTGGCTTGTTGGCATCATTAATCATTTTTACTGAGAAGGCGAAGTCTTCCAGATTATTGGTAAAGAGACAGAATGCTTTAAATTCATCAAAGGTGATACTCTGACAAAGACAAAAAACAGACACTGTTTCACAAGACATTTTAACATATCCTAATGGAATTATAATGTTACAGGATGCTACAAATGCACAAGGTCTTTATTTTATGTCAAATAACGCTTCTTATGTTATAAATAACGTTTTCTTTTAAAATGATAATGTTTTTCACAAGATATTTCAGCCAGTTGTTGGTTTTATTATAAATGGCAGTTGGCATTCAGGTAAACAGGTTCCAGAGTTCTCTAAATCAGTAGTTCAACTTTTTTGACTCGAAAACTTTACGAAACACTAAATTAATGTCACTGCCAATTTTTTTCACCAAGGCTGTATCTTAATAATATTCAGGACTATTAGTATTAGAGTTTAAAACATGTTACCTGTCCAGTGGGGATCCTCTTCCTCATGTTGTCCCAGTATGCCTCATTGTCCTCTTCATTGGTGTAGTGAAGCAGCCATTCAGCAAAGTCCTCCCGCCTCATGGACTTCATCCCTTTAGAAAACCGCAGGAACTCAACTTCTTGAACCTCCGCCTGCAGATCTTCCATAAAACTACACAAAACCAAAACAAAATCCTTGACATATCTCTCAAGGCTAAAAAAAAAGTTCAAACACAGGATAGTTGGTAGACAGGAGATGAGTTACCCGGCTTACTTTGAACAATGTTTGTTTTAAATTTACACTACTGTTCAGAAGATTTTTTTTTTTAAAGAAAGTTTATACTTTTATTCATCAAGGATGCATTAAATTGATTTCTATTTTAAACAAATGCTGTTCTTTTGAACTTTCCATTAAATAAATAATTCTGATTTTTTTTTTTTATATTTAAATAGTTTCCTCAAAAAATATTATGGGCCAGATTTATCAAACAGGTCAAATTAGCGTGAGAGCACATAATGCTGGGTTATTTCAACCCAAATTTGGATCAAATATTGACAAACCCAGTAATTGGGTTAACATTTTAAATGCCATTTTTAACCCAAAGTTTGGGTTTGTCCATATTTTACCCAAAATTGGGTTAAAACAACCCAGCATTTTTTAGAGAGCAATCCCATAAAAGCACCGATGGGAGTGATCTACTGACAACGTGCAAATTAAAGAACACATGCGCAGCCGGATCATTTCCATAATGACCAACGCAATCTAGAGAGCAGCGCAAATTAGCATCTGGTTTAAGACAAGCTTTTTTGGGGCATTAAATAATGGTGCAAATACCAGTAAATTGACTAGCACAAACTTTAGCAAATCACGTTGCGTAAGTTGCAGGTTGTTGAATCGAGGGGAGATGTCTGTGTCGGGGGGGTCTGTTGGTTGTGCTCACTGGCAGTTGTGGATCGGCCCCCTGACCTAGAGTTTAGAGCAAATGTACGGTGACATTATTGACTGAGCTAAATGTATTGTTATTGGTACTATTGTCGCTGTTGTTGTGGATTGCTAGAGCTAATGCTACTGTTGTTGTCATGAGTGTTGTCATTGTGAATATTGTCATTGATACTACCACCACTAATACTAATTTTAATATATTATTGTTGTTGTTATTGTGATTGTTGGGGTGATTATTACCTTCACTAGAACTATACTGATACTACCGGATTGCCCCTATCTATATTTTCGTCACAGAAAGGATCTCGTGTGCCTACATACACCTATTTGTCGATGAATTGGGCTGTTTTGTATTTCGTTGTTTTTGTGCTTTTTCTCTCTTCTGTATTGTATGTGTGTGTTATAACAGTGTTACTGTTTTGTTAATTTGCAATAAAAAAAAAGTAATTCATTTAAATACTATCCTGCCATAAATTTTGCATCTGAAAGGGAAAATCTTACAAATGCATTTGCAATAAGGTCAGCCGCAAAATGCGTCCACGCCTTTTCAGCACACATTTTTCACTGCATGTTTTTAGTAAATCCTGACAGTAGCTTTTTAACGCCAAAAGAGGCTTTGCGCTTGCGCATCCTGTTAGTAAATCTGGCCCTATATGTTTAACATTGATAATAATTAAGAAATGCTTACTGATCACCAAATCAGCATATTAGAATGATTTCTGAAGGATGCTGAAAATTCAGCCCTTCCATCATGAATAAATTACATTTTAAAATATAGGAAAATAGGGATTTTTTTATTTATTTATTTGATTTTTTTTATCAAATAAATGCAGCCTTGGTGAGTATAAGAGACTTCTTTCAAAACATAAAAAAAATCTTTTAGACCTATCGATCTTATGTTGCTGTATTCTGCTAATCTCATGTCTACACTTAACACTATTCAGAATCAATTATGTTATTTTTGTAGCATACATAAAGGAAATTAGTGAGTGGAAACATCATAGTAAAGGCAACAAATAATTTCTGATTATAACTGATCATCACTAGTGAGAAGTTTACAGATTTATATTATAATGCAAATTTAAGGTCAAATAGCCTAATACTACAGATGCCACACAATTATAATTTTTTAATAATCACACGGACACTTAAACATGCTAAAGTAACCAGAGGTAGTGTGCATTTTGAGTAGTGCTGCTTTACCTGCAAAAATCTGTGTAGTGGAGTTTTTTCTCGCCATTTTTCCCAAAAAAGAAAACCTGTAGTGTAGTGTTGACCTCATAATCACTGTCTGAAATCTGTAGAGAAACAGACAATGCCGTTTGCCTAAACATCTAAATGTAACAAATGTGTTTACAAAGATATTAAACAACTGAACAAACAAATTTGAAATCTCCCATATAACATGCAAAGTTGCTGAACTTAAACATGTACCCACCTCTGTCCTACCCTGCCTTAGCAGCTCTTTCCTCGGTCGAATAACTTTCTTCAGCTTCAAAAAGACAGTAAAGTTAGTAAAAGAAATCATGCACATTCAAATAACTGATTTACTTATTTACTCAGATATTCTCTAGTGTTTATGCATGTGTTTGTGTGTTATGGGGCAGTGGGATGTAGATATGCTCTGAAGAAAAATGATGAGTCTATTCAAATAGCTTGTTGAGCTTCTGTGAATCTTCTGCACCACATGGCACACTGATCCATGTTTGTGAATAGACCAAACATTTAAATCAAACTAAATTCAATTAATTAATTAATTTTTCTGATGCTCCTATCATGCACCAATCATGCAACAACCATTCCCGCATACCTGGTGCACATTGGTCTCATCTCATGCCAGCATTAACAGAAACACAAAGCAGATAGACCCTAATGACCACACTACTTACATTCCATAATGTATAAATCCAGTCAGGAGAACTTTCTTAGTTAAAATCATTTTTTAATTCAAGTTGTTGTTCACTTATTATCAATTTGAGTATGAGAAGACAAGTGTGACAAGACATGCCATACCTTCTGAAATTCCTTCTTGTCCACATGCTCATTGCCATCAATGTCAAGCATTTTGAAAGCAATATGAAATCCTGTTTGAGGTTCTGGAATCACAATGCAGTTAAATGGAGTAAAGCAATGGATACTGGCTACAAGGAGGAAAAGACCAACGGGTATAAGCTGCCCCATTGTCAGTAAATATCACAAATACAACTGTGATATAATTGTGATATTATGGCAAATACAGTATATTCCAGTATAGTTTCACAGCAAGCACTGAGTGAAGATGCAGTATTTTTGGCGTTGTAGGCAAATTAGCAAAACTTTATATCAAAAACAAACATAGGGCTCTAAACTTGAAGAACTGGACTACAATGGCTTTTTGTACACCAAATGTGCATCTATTCAAGTACAGACCTACTGCAAACTCACCAAAAAGGATTGTTAGATTTTTAGACAATATTCTGATTGTAGTCAAGTAGTTAAAGAACAATGGGTCTCCATCACTAATAGCTGCGTGAATTATTAGTTTTTATACGCACAGGAAAATTTCTCACCAAAAATGTTCACCTAATTCATTACGCACAAGAATTTGTTCTTAACCTTATTCTAACAATAATAAATTCAGAGTATTCTAAATCAGCGACCGTGTGCCAGAGTAATTTGCATAAAACACCCAAATCATGTCCATAAGGGCTTTTCTTTCGTCGCGCTTAGCAAACATGACGCTCACGCTCTCGCCTGAGAGCACGCACAGCAAGATCCTCGAGCAATGCCAAGTGTGGCACCCTCAAAACAAGTGCAAACGCAATAAACAACTTTTATACAAACCCAGATCACAGACCTCTGATTAGCCAGTTGTACATATGCGAATCTGCTACATATGTGAATCTGCATCTTTACGCAAAGGAACCCCGTAGCTCAAGCTATAATTTTCTTACGCTTTTAATAATATATATATGTCGAGTCATCAGGAATTCCAGCCTCACTTCCGTGACCTGCATACGTAACGTAGTAATACATTTGCATAATGCCAGACTAGGGTCTTCATTGGCTGCCTATGAACAACGTCTACTTTGACCCGCCCCCGTCTCAAACACAGTAGAGCTTGTTCGTGTTGTGTACATGTCAAGAAGATGCTGTTTTCTGCCCTGCAAAAGCAAATTCTCTTTTTTAAACCCTTCCAAAGGATGAGGATGTGAATGGCAGTGGTTAAATTTACCTCAGCGATACAACAGCAGTGTAACCTTTTGACGATTGCTTCTCAAATCTCTGTGAGATCTAAATGGGATTTACAAAACTCTTATCCATTAAAGAGGGGACAGTTACCCATATTATTTGGACCAGCTTGCTCCTTAGAATCAAAACCTGTAAATAATGTAAGTATGATTAATTATTGATGTATTAATTTTCTACCAGGTGTTAAAAATATGTAGTTTTGTCTTTTTATATTGTGTAGGTCTCTGGTTAACCGGCAACTCACGTCTTACTGAAATACTTCTGCTTATCAGCTGTGGGCCCACAATTAGCTAAAATTCATTTTAATGCAGATTGTCTGTTGTTCTTACTACTTTAAGTAATGATAAATGATGTTTATTATGAGCAAGATTTGTTTTACAAACTTTAATGTTACATCAGTCATTCAGGTTAGTGCTCAGCTCAGCTACACAGTTCCCACATGTACACCACAATAAATTAGAAATATACACATCGGTTTGTTGATGGAAATACACTTGTTAATGCTGATGGTGAGGAATTACACTGACATCATCTCATAACGTACGTCAAACTGAGTAGCGCATCACTGAGAAACGTCCTGCTCAGTCGTCCATGCGATGGAGGTTCGGGTTGAATAACTAGTTCTTCCAATGTTTCATCATCGGACTCGCGCTCGGATTGATATGGTAAAATCGACGCTATCGTTACTGTCTTTAATTTACAATGTGCAATCGCTGAGCTTTAAGAAGCCTCCAGAGCTGAAGTTCAGTTATGGTAATGGCCGTTTCGTTTTCAACAGGCGCTGTAAGCGGTAGACCAATAACAACAGACTGGGCCATCTGGCCAATCAGAGCAGAGTAGCTTGTGGAGAGGAGGGATTTAGAGAAACTGAATCATCTGACGAGTTGTTTGAGAATCATTGAAAAAATGTGGTGATGTGCAATATATAATATGAGAAAATTAGTGTTTTTTGACCTTTGATGCATGTAAACCTGTTGTAGGAGACCTCCAAAACAATTAGGAACCTTTAAAATAGCATAATAGAGGCAATTTAAGGCCTTTATCTATGTATAAAATTTAATCTTAACATTTATAAGGCCACCAGGCATATGTGATTTTGGCAAACGAGTGGTTTCAGCTGTTCCTACATTTGTTCGTAAATTTGGAATTTGGAGTTATTGATGAATCATGATTTGTTCATCAAAACATTATGCTGATTTCACGCACAGCACAAGTTAGTGAATGAGATCCAGTAAATGTTGGTGCAGAACCAGAAAGTGATTAAACAGTGATTAAATTGTCTTTCTACCCATCTTCTGTGACTTTTGAGACTAGGAATGAGAATCATAAGGAAATATTTTGGCTTTGAGTCCACTTAATGATTTTGTCTCCCTCATTTTGTTTTTTACTTGCAAGAAAGCAAGTCATCAAATCTCTCAAATTATTTTTGTTCCCAAGTTGGACTATAATATTGTCATACTGTATGTTTAATGTGGCATGCAACCAGCAAGGACAATGATGCATTGTTTAATTATTGTGCTTGTATTATTTCACAAAGGCCAGTCTCTCTTTCTTATTGCATTCAAATAATACTGCAAACTCAGCTAAAATTAATTTTGCCATGATGCTGTGAATTCATCAGCAGTGCAGGATGGTGCAGACACATTTTGATACAGGGTCAAAGAATCAGACTTCAAGAACATCACAAAAATAATTGATTCCAAGGACGGGAAACTGATGTAGCTGACAGAAAACTCTTTATGAAAATGATGTAAAAAAAAAAGGGCCAGGATTACTTACTTGTAAGAATAGTGAGGAGAAACAGGTACTCTGTGTAAGAGATCAGCCCTGAAAATAATTGTTCAGACAAGGATATTCAATGTTAATTTTGTCAATTAAAACACTCAATTATGTAAACACAAACAGCATATTCAAAATTACATTTTGAATGTGTTCGAGCATGTGTTCGCTCAACATATACCTTTGTCTCCGATTCCTCTTAACAGGTTATTTCCTGCCTCAGCCCTGGAAGCCACCCGTATCATATCGTCCACATCCTGTGAGTTGACCAATCGGATAATAAGGCAAAGCTTTAATTGTGTGGGTAAGACTTTCAGACTTTCACATATGATCATTTATCAATGGTATTTGTTTAGAGCTAGTCTATTTTGTCTTCGGAGCAACATTGATGTGAACTAACAATATGAACTTACTGCTTTGGTCAGGATCTTTTTCCGAAGTTTGCCTATAAGAGGAAGATCAAAAATTGTTGTAACAACAATATTTTGCAGCATAGTGAAAATTGTCTGTAGTGATGTTTGGAGAGATCCTGAAGTACATTACGCTTACTTTATGAATACAAGGCCTAACACGCAGGGGTGATTACTTCCAGATAAACAGCGTTTTCACTCGGATGTACACAAACCAGAAACATGTTAATATAAATGAGAGTGTAAGTAAAATAGAGGGGAAGGCTGCATGTGTCAGCAATTTGGGGTCTTGGTGTATTTTGGTAGTAGTCCACATAAAGAGATACATTTAAACAGAGAAATATTAAAGTATGCACTTTTCGTAAAGATAGAAACTGTCATCCTAAAGTAAACGTAAAAGCTATATTCTATTTAGTCCAATAGAATAGGAATGCACAATATCACACAAATTTATACATAATAGTGACTCCCTAGTGCATGTCTCTTTTTGAGTGTTTGCACATTCATATGGTGGTATATCACTTACAATCCACATTCTCCATCAAGACTGAATGGAGGAAGTCTCTGGGTGTCATGTATGGCTCCTCTTCATAGATCATGGAGGCAAACTGGTTAAACCGCAGTCGTCTCATTGACACTTGTGGTACTCTGATCTCCTCTTTCTTTACAGTCATACCAAAATAAAAGAAAGCGTACAAGTTGCATTCATGAACTGTGCACTTGCATTGTATCTAGAGCTTAACCTGGCCTCTAGAATATTTTGAGACATTAGAATTATGAGCCCTTATCTTTACTTGAATAACTTGAATAGTGTTTAAATAATGTCTAACTGGAAAATTCAGTATCATTTTACATAAAGAGCAAGAGGCAATTGAATGGCTTCTTAAGAAGAGACAACAGCGGGACAGTGTTGTGATTGTTAATTAAAACTAAAACTATTAAAATAGTTTTGTTTATAGCTGAAATAAAATATAAATATTAGATGAAAATCTTAACCTTAAAAAAATGGAAACAAAGTTGCCTTGTCAGCTGAATGAAATAAGTTGAAGTTGAAGTACTAAAATTACTAAAACAAACTGAAATAAAAATACATTAAAGTTAAATGGAAATATAAAAACTAATAGAAAAGACATACATGCAAATAATACTAAAACAAAATTAAATGAAAACCATTTGAAACTGTAAAAAAATTAAAAAATAAAAGCTAATTTAAAATATTAATAAATACTATATTATAGTATACAAATAATACTAAAATAACAGCGGGGGGGGGGGGGGGGGGGGCAAATTTGCACAGTGGTAAAAATGATTGCAGCAAATATGATTTTATGTTCTTTAAATGTGAACTCAAGATGTATTATTTCTCTTTAAGCAATGTAAACACCGTTAAGGGTAAGATTACCTTAAACCGGTTTAAACTGTTTATTGGGGTTTTATAGTATAGTATGTACGTGAAAATTCACTTCAGTAATGAACTTCTGGCTCTGATTATAACATTGTACTATGTTTCAATTAATTCTGTAAATTTTCCAAATAATAATCACTTAATGAGTCATTAACCAAGCATTAAGATTATTTAACCTGGCTGACACATACACTCATGGTCAGAATTATTGGCACCCTTGGTAAATATGATCAAAGAAGACTGTAAAAATAAATCTGCATTGTTTATTCTTTTGATCTTGCATTAAAAAAGTAGCAAAAATCTAACCTTTCATTGAAGTAAAACAATTGAAGGGGGGAGGGATCATATTATGATATAAATGTTTTTCTCCAAAACACGTTGGCCACAAATATTGGCACCCCCATGAAATTCTTATGAGGAAAATATCTTTGAAGTATATTCCCATTCATATTGCATTTTTTGAGCACACCAGGGTGACTAGAACATGAAATTGTCTACCCATGACATGACTTATGACATCCGAGTATAAATATGAGGAAAGCAAAGGCCAAATTCCCTTAATCGTCCATCACAATGAGTAAAACCAAAGAATATAGTTCTGATGTGCAGCAAAAGATTGTTGAGCTTCACAAAATAGAAAGTGGCTGTAAGAAAACAGCTAAAGCACTGAAAATCCACATTTCCATCATCGGGGAAATACAGTTCCACTTCCAATCAACTAAAAATGTTACAAATCTGCCTGGAAAAGGACATGTGTCTATATACTGTCTTAATGCACGGCGATGAAGAAAGTTTGAGTGGCCAAATACTCTCCAAGGATCACAGCTGGAGAATCCACAGCCATATCCCCCTCTAGCCCAAGACTGGTTGCCCACTGAAGCGAAGTATGGTTGAGCCTGGTCAGTACCTGGATGAGAGACCTCCTGAGAAAACCAGGTGGTTGCTGCTGGAAGAAGTGTGAGGCCAGCAGGGGGTGCTCACCCTGTGGTCTATGTGGGTCTCTCGTGAAAGATTAGGGGTGTAACAGGGGTGTCCTGGCCAAATTCCATCTATTGGCCTTTATCAATCATGGCCTCCTAATAATAATCCCCATACTTTCAATTGACTATCACTCTCTCTTCTCTCCACTTTAGCTGGTGTGTGGTGAGCGCACTGACGCCGTTGTTTTGTGGCTGCCGACGCATCGTCCAAGTGGATGCTGCACACTGGTGGTGGTCGAGGAAAGACCCCTGATATGACTGTATAAAGCGCTTTGGGTGTACAGTAGTACATAGTACATGACCACGGTTAAACATACAAAGGAAGGATCTGTGAAATTGTGGGCCTATTTTTCTGTTGGTGGTCCTGGACTTCTTGTTCAGATACATGGCATCATGGATTCTATCAAATACCAACAGATAAAAAATCTTAACCCGACCACGGCACCTCTGCTAGAAATCTTATAACGGGCCTTGTTTGGAACTCCCATCTAGGGCAATGATCCAAAACAAACATTAAAACCAACACAAAACTGGGACACTGAACACAAAATGAAGCTTCTGTCATGGCCATTCCAGTACCCTGACCTGAACCCTATAGAAAATGAGAACCCAAAATCAGGTTGCAAAAAGTATTGAATAAAAGGGTGCCATTAATTGTGGCCAAAGTCTATTGGAGAAAAACATTTATTTCATAAAGAGATTTTCCTCACATTTTCAATTATTTTACTCCAATGAAAGGTTAGACTTCTGTGAGTTTTTTTTTTTATTAAAGATCAAAGGGATTAACAATGCAAATTTATTTTTACAAGGCTACTTATTTACTAATGGTGCGTTCACACCGGACGCGAATAGCGCGTCAGGCGCGAGTGATTTCAATGTTAAGTCAATGCAAAGACGCGTTACGCGCGTAAAAAATTCCTGCGGCGCGAATGAGGCGTAGAGCGCGGCGCGGTAGACGCGAATACGCCTCATTCGCGCGTCAAGTTCGCGCGAATGGCGCGAATTGAGCGTCTGGCGCGTTAAGCGCGAATGATTTAGTTAGTGCTATTTGTGCATTCACGCGTTTGACGCGAATTCGCGTCTGCCGCCCGAGTTGAAAAATCTGAACTTCTGCGTCAATTCGCGCCGCGTTAACCAATCAGGAGCTAGCTGCTTGCTGCTGTCACGTGGTGAAGTATCTGGATGCTTCAATAAATTATTTTGTAATATATGACTGTGGTTCTAATGCACAACAAAGCAAATATTTTATCACATAAAACTTGATTTCAATATATGAGACATATTCATTTTGTATTGAATGCTATTTATTCCATATCTAGATTATATGAAATATTATTATAATGTAAAGACAACCAACATATAAGTTAGTGTCTGGACAGTGATGTGTGAGAGAGAGAAAAAAATCACAGGACAGATTAATCACTTTTGGAGGCTGGCTTCGTTTATTATCAAAACAAAAATAAATGACAGATTAGGTGGATGCGGATGAGGGTGAACCTCGCGCCGGGCTGTAGAGCGCGGGCTCGACAGGCATAGACCACTCGAGGCCGAGGGCTTATACGGCCTACGCTGTCCTCGTCAGCATCCTCACCATTAGGTCCACCAAACCTAGCTCCTGGAGCAAATTGTGAAACTCTTGAAACCCTCCGGAGGTTCTGGTGGACCCGAGTACAGCGACGATGTCCCCTACGCAGCTGTTTCTGCTCTCCAGAGCATATACGAGCGGTGACTCTCTCGAATAATGCTAATGCTAATGCTCGATAAACATCTAAAAAGATGGCCGCCAACGGGTTTCGAAACTTTCGCCTCCGGATTTCGCCTCTGACGCGCGTAAATTTCGCTTCAAACTTTTGTTGTTACGCGCGTCAATTTCGCCATTGACACGCGAATTAACACAAAGTGGTCAAGCGTCAAACTAGACGCGGTAGACGCGAATTTGACGCGCTATTCGCGTCCGGTGTGAACGCACAGTAAGGGTGGCAATAATTTTGACCATTACTAGTTACAGTTTGCTGTGACAGCATACATACTGAACTCCACCTACAACGTGATGGCACCAGTGTAACGTTAACTATCCAAACTATTCAGAAAATGTGTATACATTTACAGAAGACATATTAGGCTTTTACTGACTCTCCATGTTCAATTTACCATACTGCAATGAAATAATAATAATAGTAGGATAATTATCGGTTGGTCCCATTTTAATAGGCTACTTAAACATCAAAAAGATGACAGTATAATTTTAGTGACTCTACGAACAAAAAGACAGTGAGTGAGCCTGTTATGTTTTTAACTTCTCGGACAACACGAATTTTAAAAAGTTAAGAGGTTATTTTAAAAGTTGTCTCTGATTAGAGAAGTTTGTTTACCTTCGCTACCTCCTCCGCGTACACGATGTGTGGCCAAAGTGTCCATCTGGGTTCATTGTTATAGTGAATAAATCCGCCAGTTACAACAGAACCCAGCAGACCCGCTCCAACAGCACGACTATACCATACACTTCTGAGAGGCCACAAACCTCTCACTGCGTTCCGCCAACTAGCGCCTAACTTGGCCCAAGTCGCCATTGTTCTACTACGGGAAGTTTTTTTTTATCAGTCTTCTTTGGTCGATAGTGTCAGTAGTGTAGTTAGAGTGATAAGAGGCGGTGATTTGTCGCCCCTATCAGGCGCACATCATAACTACATTTTGCTCGCGAGCTCTTGGAAAGTTGATATAATGGAAGACGCACCTTGCAGTGCAAACGAGGTGTAGGCTACAGGTAAATTAAACATTGATGATGTTTTAGTCATTTTTTACTCATAGTCATTTTAGCCACCCTGTGTAATTTTTTTACGAAACGGGACATGATCTCCGGTTAATTTTGGAGAAGTGATCTTAAACAGTATTCTTCAGACGATCAGCTTCCTTAGAAGTTTCAGGCAAGGCAAGCTGAATTTATAAAACATGATAACATGAAAGGCTACTTGCTGTGCTTTAATGAAAACACATATTTAAAATATTTTTTGCGGCTTATGGGACAATAAAAGAGGCCTGCTGTTCTATAAATAGAAATTGTATGACTATATGGCTATTGATAGCCATGATGTGAGATGAAAAGGGGCAAAGGAAGGGACGGGCGGACGGGGTAAAGTCCACATTCTGAAACAGGAAATACTCTCGCCTATAGGTGAGAGAACAGGTAAATATGCGACCTTTTAATTACCTCATGCTACATCCTATTTTTTTTTTTTTTTTTGCATGATTAATTATTAGTTGATGATCTGGGGTCCTGAAAATAAAGTACTTCAATCTGTAAAAAATATGCTTTTTAGCTTTTATTTGTATTATTATTTAAGTGATGCAATTAAGAACTAGGCTATGCAGTAGCTATAGTTCAAAATTCATAACTCTGACGTTTAGCCCTATCTGCTCACTCTTTGAATAGCCTTTAATTTAGCGGTAACACTTTTTATTATAAAGTGTTTTATTTAGTGTCCTTGTAACACATGTTAGATGTTACATGGACATGTTAACACATGCTACATGTAGCCTAGCCTACTTGTTATAGGCCTACTAATAACAGTAAATTATGCAAAATTACACGCAACTAACCAAACCCTAATCCTAACCCTAAACCTAGGCTATGTATAGTTGATTAATTTGAGTATAATTACACTGTAACAAGGAAACCTTAAATAAATTGTAACAAAGTGAGATTTAGCTAATTAGTGGTGAACTGGCAAAATTATACATTGCTCTTGATGTGATACGTTTATACGGTACATTTACAGGCAGATTTAGTTGATTCAAAGCATTTATCAAAATGAAAGACAAAACCTAAACATAGCTAATATTGTGTAGATATTACTCTAAAACTACACTCCCATTAGCCTTTGCAACATATGCCGTAAGTTAAAGAATGAGTGAGAGAAAAGGACTGCATTCATATTAAGATTTGATTTAATTACATAGGCTATGTCACCTACATGTGGATAATGTCATAAAAAGACACCTAGAACGTGTTGAAACCATTATACAAGTTAGTTACATTTAGTAAAGTAATACCATAAACAATACATGTGTTACTATTAATTGTATTCATATTTTTATTATTAATCATAAGTATTTATGACTACATAAATGTAATACAAAAATTTGTAGTTTTTACTCTTAAACTACATTTCCCATAGGCTTTGCGACATGGGCGTGTTCCTCTATGTCGTCTCCGTTTAGTTGAAGAATGAGCCAGTGAGAGAAAAGGACTGCGATACTCACAGAACTATTTTGCCTTAATCACAATAAATGGTGTTCATATGAAAGTCTTTCGAGACTTTCGATGTGTTTCAGGTTTTGAGCGGTTGTTACGGGTAGTTACAGACCTTCAGGAATTGTTTGCTAATGTTTAATAACTGATTAATGTGAGGCTCATCCGCTAGTCGGTTAGCAAAGCGCCTTTGCCGCTGCGATGATGGAAACTTGAGCAGCTCAAAGCAAACACTCATCCAGCTCTCCAGACCACCCAAACACAGTGAGTTTTACTTTAAAAATATACTTTTAACAACGATTATGTGATGCTGCCTTACTGAATCCCATAATGGCTGGGTTTATTTAACAGATCAGCTGTTAGATCAGCAGATCAGCTAACGTACTAGCTGAGCAGATTTTTTACTTTGTTTTGGGTCTTTGTTGATGACAGAGGTGTAACCTGGAAAAAAACTTATACAGACAAACTGCTATTTAGTATTCCCTGTTGTGTAGTTATCTTAACATTATCTGTTGTTTTACAATCTGAGCTGTTATCTGCCAAGTCTTGTACATGTATAGTGAGGTATAAAATCTCTCTCTCTTACAGGGACCCCTGTGCCAGGCAACAAGATGCAGACCATAAAGTGTGTTGTCGTTGGTGATGGTGCAGTGGGAAAGACCTGCCTGTTGATCTCCTACACCACCAATGCCTTCCCAGACGAGTACATTCCTACGGTGTTCGACAATTACAGCACTCAGACCTGTGTGGATGGCCGCGCCGTCAGTCTTAACCTGTGGGACACGGCCGGTCAGGAGGAGTATGACCGCCTGCGAACCCTCTCTTACCCGCAAACACACGTGTTCATCATCTGTTTCTCTGTGGCAAGTCCTTCCTCTCATGCCAACGTCAGGCATAAATGGCACCCGGAGGTGTGCCACCATTGTCCTGGCGTGCCCGTGCTGCTGGTGGGCACTAAGAGAGACCTGCGGGGGGACAAGGAGACCCTGGAGAAGCTGAAGGAGCAGGGCATGAGTCCCACCACTCCGCAGCAGGGCAGCGCTCTGGCCCGAAGCATAGGTGCTGTGCGATATCTGGAGTGCTCAGCCCTTCTGCAGGAGGGAGTCAGAGAGGTCTTCAACGAAGCAGTCAGGGCCGTTCTCTACCCCAATGCCAAGAAGCACACCAAGAAATGTGTGCTGTTATAACTACATGAGGATGTGTGTGTGAAAGATTTTATGAAGGGTGGAATGTAAGTTAGTCATGTGATCGTGTGTTGCTACCATTTTTTGTTCGTATCTCTACACTACAGTTAGCAATAGGTGCACAGGCTGATAAAGAGGAAGAATGAGACACTGCGTGCTTGTGTGTTTGTGTTTCAACTTTACATGCATATCACCTAAGACATAAATACGGTGTTGTAATCTAAAATCAGGCAGACGGAGTGTAGTGGATTTGTCTAAAGGACTACAGGCATCAGCAACTTATGCCTTCCTATAATGCCTTAAAACCCCAGCATATTTTAATCACTCAGAGGATATTTCATGCACCAAAGTGTAAATTCAGTCTAATGTGACCGAAGGTCTTATGAAGGTGCTGTCTTTCCCTGACCGCTTGAGTAACACAATTATGAGGGCTTGCAATCCCCCTAATTTGCGTGCTATGTTAATGTGAGACCCAAAGGACTATAGGTTTGATGGCCTATGGTTATCACAACATGCCATTTTTCCTGTATTGTTGCCTATTAATGATCTCTGACCTTTGTAGGGTCGATTGACAGCTCAGGAAGTGCTGCGTAATCCCATCGTGCCTTTAGCGGCTCAGCCCGTACATCTCACAAACTCCTTCCTCTGCTCATTTCATTTAGGGTGCTACTTTGGGTGCCGGTTGACATTTATTGCTGGAAAGGGCTGCTGAAAATGTACTGAGAGCTGCTGTAGCTCACCTGCCTCCTACTAGAGCTGTAAATGAAGGGATATAGTGCTGTTTTATAACACCCTTGGGGTAGAAATTAAGATCTTTGTATTTGGCTTGTTGTGCCTGAATCCTCACAATTTACAACCCTGTTATTGAATCTGAAGTGCCACTAATATTTGTATTATTTTGTATTTTATCATGAATCTTGACACTCCAATGAAGTGCCCTAATAAGAAATATTGGTGGAGATATACTCTTTGTCTTACATCTCTGTTATACAAGGAACATCCAGACTGTGGTTAATGTACACAAACACTTCAAACATTCAGGTTTAGGCTTCTATTTGGGTCAACATTTACATTTTATATATTGAATGTCTACCTTTTGTATAATAAACATCAGCTGTTTCTTTTTTAGCCAAAGGCTGCTTTGTCAATGATTTTGTTTTAGGATATTCAATACCACACTAATTTTTTATTTCTTGAAACTGTCATTATTGTTTACGAATATACCTCCACTTGCATGAGAAAATAAACCATTTTTAAAGTAAAACAATGGTTCTTTGACCTCAGATTTGTTCATGACGCTCTCTATAAATGCAGAGAGAAAGGGAATGAGAAAGAAAGAACAACTGCATCTCTCTGACGTTCTTCACAATGCTTTCACAGATGAACAAAACCATCAGCTGTGGATGTGTACTTTGTGTTGAGGCATTGTTCTTAGAGTAATGATCTAATGTTTAGGCCTGAATGCTTAATTTATTTTGGGACAGGTTGTCCTTTACAAAAAAGTAGGAGAGACCGGGGTTGGTTGGCACACGGTTAATTTCTCATACATGGATGATGTAACATTTCAGTGTTTGCTATCTTAACCCACAATTGATTCCAACAAGACAATACAAGATTAAAACAAAACATAAAAAAAATGTAACTTCTCAGGAAAATGCTGTGAAATTAATTAAGAGATATTTGATTTTTTTTTTTAAATGAATGTTAGTAGAGGTTATATTTAGTTATATTTTGATATTTATTTGATAATTATTCCATTTGTTAAAAATTATTCCAATATCCTTTACGGAAAACGTTTGGTTGGTTAGTAGTACATGTGTAATATAAGAATAATTAATAAATCCTAATATGTGGATAATGCAATTAAAAGACTGAAGTAGAAAGTGAAAAGCAGAGATTGTCTCGTTTTTTTTATCCATACAATGGAGTTTGGTTATCAACAATATTCCAAATATCATTTGATTTTTTTCTTTTGTAGCAGTAAATGAAGAGATGTTTTATCGATCAAAAGTTCAGTATGGCGTACCACAAGGCTCAGTGCTAGGACCTTTGCTGTTCATTCTGTATATGCTACCCTTAGGAGATATCATTAGGTAAGCATGGAATTGATTTTCACTGTTATGCTGATGATACTCAGCTGCATATTTCTTCACGCCCTGACGAAATTGACCAATTCACAAAATTAACGGAATACATCGCTGATATAAAAAAACTGGATGACTAGTAATTTCCTACTACTTAATTCTGAAAAAACAGAGATTCTAATTATTGGACAAAAAACATCCTCACATAATAACCTAGAATACTGTCTAACACTTGATGGCTGCTCTGTTAAGTCTTCGTCGTCAGTTAGGAACCTGGGTGTGCTCTTTGATACCAATCTTTCATTTGAAAGTCACGTGTATCTGTTAAACTGCATTTTTCCATCTTAAAAATATATCTAAATTGCGTCATATGCTCTCAATGACAAATGCGGAACAATTAGTTCATGCATTCATGACATCAAGGCTAGATTATTGTAATGCTATTATGCGTGGCTGCCCTGCACGCTTAATAAACAAACTACAGCTGGTCCAAAACGCAGCAGCTCGAGTTCTTACCAGAACCAGGAAGTATGACCATATTAGCCCGGTTCTGTCAACATTGGCTCCCTATTAAACATCGTATACATTTTAAAATATTGCTGATTACTTACAAAGCACTAAATGGTTTAGCCCCGCAGTACTTGAGCGAGCTCTTAACACATTATAGTCCTTCATGTCTATTGCAATCTCAAAATTCCGGCCAGTTGATAATACCTAGAATATCAAAATCGACTGCTGGCGGTAGATCCTTTTCCGATTTAGTACCAAAACTTTGGAACAGTCTTCCTAACATTGTCCGGGAAGCAGACACACTCTGTCAGTTCAAATCTAGACTAAAAACACATCTCTTTGACCTAGCACACACATAACACATTATAGACTTCTATAATTCAATGTTAGGCTGCATAGGTCAGCCGGAACCGGGAACACTTCCCATAAATCCTGATGCACTTGTTACATCATAAGAAGGATGGCGTCTAAGCTAATATTAGTCTCTCTGTTTATCCCAAGGTTTACCGCAGTCCAGATCTGATGAAGGACCTGCGCCTGGACACGACGACAACGTAGCCCTGAAGTGTTAACTAGTCTCTCCCATGTGAAGGCCTTCTTCCCTTCCCTTTACCTTTGTACAGATAAAACTTTGTTGGGATAATTCCGGTACACGTGGCTACGCGGAAGCGATAAATAATTCTTTATTATAAATTTTCAAGGCCATGACAAGTAGTTTGTTGAGGGATGGTTTGTAAAGAAGGACTACATGCCTGCGCACATATATATTCAAACACGCATACATAGACTAAACACGTGATGCGCATGTGCACGCCGTCTGCGTTTTCGCGGGTTTGCGTTTTTGAGGTTTGCGCAGAGATAACCTTTTTTATTATTATTTCAAGGCTTGCACCTTGGAATCTATTTCAGGGTTTGCGTTCTCGAGCCACCAGGCACTGTTTTGTGCAGATGAGCAGGCCGGAGCGCGTTAAGTGTTTTCTGTTAGAACGGTGTCGTGTAAGCGGCCCCTAAGTTAATGATCTTTACAACGTAAGTGAATCAATCAATCAAAACTAACTTTAGCTGGACAATAACTTTATTTTAGAGCTGCTGTAAAGCCAAAACAATCTCTGTTACTGTAATTTCCTATTATCACTGTAAAGCTGCTTTGAAACAATCTATATTGTTAAAAGCGCTATAAATGAAGGTGACCTGACCTGACCTTTTTTTTTGCTGACAGAAGAAACAAGGTAACAGGTCTGGAACGACAAGAAAGTAGGCCTAAATGATGATAGATTTTAATTACAATTTAGGAAATATGAATGTGTTGGTTTTTGCTCAAGAACATTGAGATATTTAATCAAGAATGAACATTATTACAGCCAACATTCAGGTAGGCCTCTGCTATTTCCATAAAATATATGGAAATAAACATCAAAGCAATTGATATTCTATAATTTAATGAAACGGACTGGGTCTCCAGGAGTTTTTCTTTTGCTTTGTTCAATTTTAATTCAGTTAACTAAGCAAATTATCCTCCTATCAAATTAAACTGAACAGAGAACAATGCCGTGTGCTCTACTCTCCGGTGCGGAGCTGCATCTTTAGACCCGCAGGGGGAGTCAGATAAACTGAATCAGCTCCGAACACAACAAACAGAAGCACACACACAGCTGCTGCTACTACCCGCGCATGCAGAAGCAGCAGCTCATTCATTGCCAAATATGTTTGAGGGATTTATATCTACATATTAAATAAACTAAGCTTGCATATACAACTCTTGAACGTATATATTTTTTTTGCGCGTATGCCTTTACGCGTTCCCTCTGGCTGGCTGCTAACAGCTAATCGACCGGGGACAGGGAGCTCCTCCTTCGGTCCGATTTTTACTCGAGCCCGAGGATCCAGAGGCCTTCGAGCCGGATAACAGCAACAGAGGACAAGGTACATGGTCTCAAAGATTAGTATGTTGAAGCCATAACAGTGTCTAAAAAGCAGGATAAAAGTAAAATAATACAGAGGTTGAACATAGAGGGAGGCGTGTGAAAAAGTATCGTTAAACGTGTCAACATCTCCTTTCTGGTTTTCTCCATTCTCTTGTATTGTTAATTATACTCCATTAATTCTGGTATAAACTGTTTAGCGGTGTATTTGTGTAATATGTATTTGTTTTATTTAAGTAGTAGTGTTATAGTCAGAGGGTGGTGTGGTGGTTAAATAACTTAACGTTAAATCCGAAAAGTTGCAAGTTCGAGTCCCACAAAAGGGAGATATTGAAAGTAACTCCTAAATGATTGCTGGCTTACCTGACATTGAAGCTTCATGGATGCATTACATTTGGTGGGCTGATGAATGCTAGGATATCTTGTTTTTGTATGTGTAGAATGTCAGACTCCGACAGCGATGAGGACCAGGACCGGCCCTTCCACTTGACAGGGTTTCTGTTTGGAAACATCAATGAGAATGGACAACTGGAAGATGACAGTGTGCTGGATACAGTAAGAAACTAAATCCCTGCTCTTAAGTGTCTCTTGATGTCGGCATGAGTTGGAAATTCACCATCCCATTTTTTCGACCTCTCTATTTTCTGAATGCATGTTATTGATCTTATTGAGATTTATATATTTAACATGTTTTAGTTTTTTGTGTAATTTCTAATAAAATAAAATAAAATTCAGTCTTCCGGTGAAATGACAGACTTCTCTCTGGTGATGGATGCCAGACTTCAATCATTAAGTCCTCGCTCAGGCCCGGATTGGCCATCTGGCAATTCTGGCACATGCCAGAAGGGCCGGTGTGATTTTCTATTGTTTTGGGCCGAGCTGACCACGTTGCTGCTCCTTTATCGCAAAAAAGTTTTTACGCTCGCAGGTTTTTCAGGCAATTCGAAAAAGGAATATTTCGCAAAACTGCAATGGAAACAGTTTTTGCGCATTTACAGTCACCTGAAGACGCGGTGTGTTTGGGGTCCGTGATATACGCAAATAATAGGCTAATAAATATCAACATTATTATAACAATTATTAGGCTACATATTTAGAAGACGCTTTTATCCAAAAAAAGGAACAAAGCAATTCGTCAAATGTCATTCATAATGGTTAGACAATAATAATACAGGGCTAAGATTATCACAAATAAACACAAGATTTTGACGCATATCCAAGTGTTTGCTGAGCGCGCATGGCACGGAGGCGCGGCCGCGAACACTTGCTTTTTCCTATCAACAGTAGAAACAACTTAAAATAGGCCTACTCTATAATTTCTGGTCATACAGAAAATAATAATACATTATTCGCCACTATGAATTTTTTTGTGTAAACTCACAATAACAAGAAAACGTTGTGCTTTTGTAAAATAAAATAAAACAATCATGCGCGCTTTCATGATCTCCGTGAACTGGAGCGCGAGAACTGAAACAAAGTATAGCCTAGGCTAAAGCTTGAAGTGTCCACTTTAAAACGAACAAATTCGAATCGAAAGCTAATACATTCTGATGATGTAATCCTTATGAAAGGTGTATTTCTCTCTAAAGGTGCATTCGCGCGGCGCGCGCTT